GGAAGAGGTCCACAGAACAGTTACAGATATGACAGTTTTGAGTTTTAAATTATAATACGCTATTGGTGCAGCGTGGTGTGCGTAAAAAGTTTTGAGGGTTGATGGTGAGTCGTTGACCAAAGATCAGGTGTTGGTATAAGATCATGACCATGGTTTTCTGTTTTCCTCTTTCAGTATAAACAAGGAAAGCATTGTGGATGTTGAGGGCTTTGTGAGGAAAGTCGACCAGAAGATTGAGAGCTGCACCCAGCAGGACGTAGAGCTGCACATCGAGCAGGTATCGTCACATTGTACTACACGAGTCGGTCGCAGAGAGCTTGAAAATTAACCAAACGTGAATATTAATTCTGTACATTCTCTGCAGATTTTCGTTGTCAGCATGTCGGATCCAAAGCTGCCGCTGCAGCTGGATGATGCCACCAGGCCAGAGAATGACAAAGAGGAGGTATAAACATAAACAGTGCACAACAAGCCACGTGTTCCAATACTTTTTAAGTTATTGCTGGCGTTGGTTGTGATTGTAATGATAATACAACACTTGTCATTTATTAAATATTTCACTAGGATGGAAGAGCAACTGTGAACCAGGACACAAGGCTGGACAACAGAATTCTAGACTTGAGGGTAATTAGAAAACCTCGCCACTTGACCATATTTTCACAATATATAGATGCACATTCATTTTTAGTTTTTATAACATTGCCTTTGCTTTTCTATTAGACGACCACAAGTCAGGCTATTTTCCGACTGCAAGCCGGAGTCTGCCATCTCTTCCGGGAAACCCTCATCAATAAGGGTTTTGTTGAGATTCAAACCCCGAAGATTATTTCAGGTACATTTATTTGCGTTAGATAAAAGTATGAACATTGAACAATAATTTGCCTTTCCCACAAATGTGCTGCTTCAAACACACGTTCGCATTTTAGTTTAAGCCAATCCAATTGTTTGTCTTCCAGCTGCCAGCGAAGGTGGTGCCAATGTGTTCACCGTCACCTATTTCAAAACGAATGCATATTTGGCACAGTCGCCGCAGCTTTACAAACAAATGTGCATCTCTGGAGATTTCGAGAAGGTGTTCTGCATTGGTCCTGGTGAGTCTTCACTCGGCAAGCCTTTGTGAACCCATAACCGGTTGATTATTATCGGGTGAGAATATTTTTTGTTGACAATGTATAATAATTAAAACATACTACAGCATTTAATATGTATGTCAACTACATTATGCATAACTCATTGCAGAAAACATTACATATGGACATTATTAATATTTGACAGTCATTTGATGTTGTATCTGTGTAGCAAAATAGAATAATGTAGAACTGTGTGCCAACGGATGTGTTATTTTTCATAGTTTTCCGTGCCGAAGACTCCAACACTCACCGCCACCTGACTGAGTTTGTGGGGCTGGATATTGAAATGGCCTTCAACTACCACTACCACGAGGTGGTAGAGTCCATTGGTGACACCTTGGTGCAGATATTCAAGGGTCTGCAAACAAGGTACAGAACGACTTTGACACCATCAGAGTCCGGATGCAGTGGGGTTTCCAAGTTTATCTTTTGTGCCGATTGCTTTGCATTTGTTTTATGCTAGTGAAGTCATCACTGCAACAGATGTGGAGGCTTCTGACCCCTTTTTAAATAATGCAATCTAACCCAAAAACCTTTATGAACAGATGTTTTGTTTAATATGTGGATTATATCTTGTTTTAATGCATTGAATGCAATTATTCCCCATTGATAGAACACGTGGAGTTGGACTTTTGCATCACGGTGGATCATATCGCAGTGCGTTGTATTCTCTTAACCGTTAGGTACCAGACGGAGATCCAGACTGTGGGACGCCAGTATCCAGCTGAACCATTCAAGTTCCTGGAGCCATCTCTGCGTTTGGAGTTCCCCGAGGCTTTGGCCATGCTCAGGGAGGCTGGTGTGGAAATGGGAGATGAGGAGGACCTCAGGTAAATCTTGATGCACACAACTACCACAACGTATTTCAAAGTGATATTTTAGATCCTTAAATGCCGCGTGTCTCTTAATGTCTTTGGCAGTACGCCGAACGAAAAGCTCTTGGGACGACTGGTGAAACAGAAGGTAAGAGAATGTTATCCAAAAAAACGAATCGAGATATTAAAGTCACTTGCGCTATGTGAAAATAATATATGCATGTATAAATGCAGTATCAATCTACAACTGTTATTTTGCTCTTGATTTGAAGCTTTCGTGACTGCAGGAATCCATACTCTTTGGTTCTTTCGGTAAAGTCACGTAGGTATAAAATAAATCACGACGTTTCGGGTGCAACACAAGCGTCCGTCATCAGGTTGTGTTGTGCCCGAAACGTCGTGATTTATTTTATTTTATACCTACGTGACTTTACTGAAAGAACCAAAGAGTATGTTATTTTGCTGCTACTGTTCTTGACTTATGTACATTATTTTTCCAGTATGACACAGACTTCTTCATTCTGGACAAGTACCCGCTGGCTGTTAGGCCGTTCTACACCATGCCTGATCATCGTGACCCCGTAAGTTGCATTTTCAATGTCGACAACTTTTTTATATGACGTACACGGGGACACAACAGGTCAGGTTTTCGAACGGCGAGTGTTGTTTCTCCTTTCAGAAAACTTCAAACTCGTACGACATGTTCATGCGTGGGGAGGAGATCCTATCTGGAGCTCAGCGAGTTCACGACCCGGAGCTTCTGACGGAGAGGGCCCGCCACCATGGCATAGGCACGTCCAGCACATCCAGCACATCCAGAGTGCCGGGAATCGGTTTAACGTGCTCGTTGCTGGGCACGTGACTATCACCGCTCTGTAAAGCGTTGTTTTTCTCAAACGGGCCCAATAACAAGAAACGAATGCATTAGTTTCACTATCACTAATAAGGAAAATAAAAAAGCACTATCAACAAAAATGTATGTGTAAAATTATACCATTCCAATACTTTATTCTGAAAAAATGTTTGCAGTGCTCATTCACATGATCGAATAATTGTGAGGGAAGCCTGATTAAATTGTCTTAACATTCGTACAAGGAAATAACATTCCCCAGTGGTCATTGAAACACAAACTAAAGATTGGTAGTCACGTTTACAAAGCATGGATTGTTGTTTTTTTGCATGGTTAACACCTGATTGTAGTTATATGAAAGCGACCATGTCCTTTGTGCATCGATTCAGACCTGGAGAAAATTAAAGCCTACATCGACTCCTTCCGCTACGGTGCTCCCCCCCATGCTGGAGGAGGCATAGGTAACCTCGTTGTGTGGCTGCGGTTTCACGATTGTGCTGTTTCACGGCTCTGGCGCGATTTTAGGTTGTACCACTTTTCGTTTGGCATGATGTCCGACGTTTTGCTGTACATGCAGGGAGCCTCTTTAATTCTTGAGGCTCCCAGATCGTGGAGCAAAACAGACACGGCACAACCCGGAACACATCAGAGTGATGATAAAGTTGTAATTACCTTTTTTTGCTTTGTGTTTAATCACTTAAGTCTCCAGCGCAGCTGTTTTGGTCGGTGATTAAACACTCGCATGTGATCCTTGTCTCAACAGGTCTCGAGCGGGTCACCATGCTCTACCTGGGACTACATAACGTTCGCCAGACCTCCATGTTCCCACGTGACCCCAAGCGCCTGACTCCCTAACTGCAGCTGCCCACCGAGTGAATGCAGTGAAGCCACCAAGCCTTAAGCGGGTTACAGCTTTGACGATTTGTTTTTGATGTGCATGGAATACCTGCGGAATATTTAGAAAGCATTCGCTGGATTTTGATCTTTCTCAGTGCTCCCCCATCAGGGCTATTTGCTTGTTACCTTGATTAATGGATTTTCCATGTCATTCTTCACAGACTTTGTACTGGCAAATTTTTGCAAAAAGGTAATTTTTAAACATGCAGTTTTCCAAAAATAGTAACAAAAGAGATTTATTGGTCAAAAATTATATCAATAATCTGTGTGGATAACGAATCAGGACCTGATTGGCATTAACACATGTGCTGAATGAATCAGCTTCATGTGAATGAAGGTGTAGTACACGCTGCTGTCTAGAATAGTTTTCCCTGGTAATACGATTAAAACAATTCCTTGTATTAACCACGAACTTGAAAATATTATTTCATTATTCCTACAATTGTGAACAAACTTTTAAAAAGTACAAAACCAGCAAAAACTAGTAATGAGCAATGTAATTTTTGATAACTGCACATTAAAATTGCCATGAATTGTGTGTGCGTGGCAGTACGTTGCCTCTTCCCGTGTATTTGTATTGGGGCAGTCAAGAGCCATTCTCGAACATCAAACAGAGCGATGCCCATATTGGGATGAGACTACAAGCATTGAGAACGGTTTCTCCTGTGCAAGGGGTTAAAACTCAACTTGAGTGTCATTGCAATTATTCCTTATGGCAGTACCCCGGGGTACCAAATAATACAAAATGGCTGAGGCAATTAAATATTTTATTTCTGGGACACTATTTTTTCCAGGGATGTACTTAACTCCACAACAAGGGTACCAATCAATCCGAAATCAGTGCTACTCCACGATGTCGAAAACGCAGCGAGGACGCTCCTATGCACCAGAGTGCATCTGAACTGCTCGTTGAGAGCCGCATCGCCGACCATCAACAGACTAAAAATGACTGCATCACGGACATTATGCGAGAGCCGCGGTACTATGGTACGCCGGGGTACTATGGTACGCCGCGGTACTATGGTACGCCGGGGTACCGCCATAAGGTTAATGTGTAAACTACACATTTCCAGATGGGGCACAAATTATGTAGGTATGAAGAGCATATATCAAATGAGATTGTCTGAATGGGCTAAAGTCTCTTAACCTTCATTAATGTACTGTAATTTGTAAATAAAACATCTCCACTTATCAGTGGTCTATTACAGGAATTGACTTTTTACCAAATATAAATGAATGTTAATCATCTGACTTGGAAACCATTCACTTCCCAAAATGTAAGTGTAGGTAAAACTAGGCAATTTTCGGTTTATATTGCACAATGAGCATTTATTGTATCTGCTTTTATATGGCAACACAATCATGGTAATGGATATGTACACATGGCAAATACTAAAGAGCAAAAAAATATCCCAACTTAAAGCTTTCGTGACTGCAGGAATTCATATTCTTTGGGTCTTTCGGTAAAGTCACGTAGATAGGTTCAAAGAAAATATCAAAACACGACCACTTGTGTTGCGATCGAAACGTCATAGTTTTTTATTTTATTTGAACCTATCTACGTGACTTTACCGAAAGACCCAAATAATATATATTATCCCAGCTTTAACTGTGCCAACATGTAATGTTAATGTTTTAAACGTAAGTATGATATAACAAAGAAATGTACTGAAACAGTAACATGCATTAAATTCCACTCAAATGCTATGCGATATGACATGACAAGGGGAAATATACGCAGGTACAGAAAATTATCATTTTAAGCATGGGAGCAGCTCTGTATGAAACTTAAGTGATTGTGGTACAGATATTATCGAAAGATATTTTAGTGGACATCTTAAAAATTAGTCGTCACTGTCACTTCCAGATTCGCTCAGCTGCAGGTCACTTCCTGTAGAAAACAAAAACACATGTTACTGAGAAATTAATCATTACAAATCAATACGCAAAATTACACGTTATTTAACTGTATTTGACATGGTCTATACAGTATTCACGAACAAGTCATTGCGGTAAGCTAGTTGCAAGAAAACTACCATTTTGGAAGCACGTGCATAAGAGTAATCGTGAATCCGTTGAGTGTGAAGTGCGGCGTGTGACTGCTTACTCAGTGTGCTCATGTATCCCCGGTGCTCTGAAGGTGGCTGTGCACGGGTGGTGCCGTTCGGTAAGTTTGCTGCGATGGGTGGAGCTGGGATCTGTGGCTGCAGTGGCGTGGGCTGAGGTTGAGCGAGGGGCTGAGTCGGGGCAGGGGAGAGCGGCACGCGGCTCTCCAATTCCTCATTGGAGCTCTCGCTGCCACTGCTTGAGCTATCCGAGTCCGAAGAGCTGGCATTGCTCATTTCAATGGCACGGGCCTCGGCCAGAAGCTCTGTTTCAGCACAAGAACATGAACATTGTTTAAGGCACAATGCAGCAGCTAATTTATTGGAAACCTGTCTTTACAGATCCAGCAAAATGTTCAACCATCAAACTTGTAATATTATTTTAGAGTTCTTATGTCACTTGCCTTTCTCGATGTCGTGCAGTGGTTCAGGAGACAGTTTTTCCTTTTCAGGTGAAGTTTTACTGCCCGATGTTGCTCGACTCGCGCTCTTTGTCGGCCCACTCTGCTGTCCTGCACGCCCACTCTGTTGTGGCTGCTGCTGCTCCAGTCGGCTCTGAATCTTACTGCTGCCTTCAAACCTAAAAATGAATACAACTTCATATTCATCGTATCTAAATGTAGCAACATTGAGACGCGTTACAGACCTGGGACACACATTGTGTCAAACGGTGAAAAGACGAGATTACTGTATGAATACATATATCATTGCAGTCAATCCTTGAATTGGAGGGGGGGGGGGTTAGGATTTGAGTGATGTAGTCACATTTACATGCGAGGTGAAGTAGAAAAAAAATGCATGAGCATGTCCAGGCCATGGAAATGTTTAATATACAAAAAGGAACATACATTTGTGGCTTTTCAAGCACTTATCACTCACCTGGTTTTCTTGACCTGGATGTTGCTGGTGAGCTTTTCCAATGTATACTCTCCCGTGTCATGGTTGATAATGAGAACACATTCCTTCATGCATGGTCTCTTGGAGCCTTTAAACACAGTTGTGGGTGGAGTAGAGCCCTGAAGCACCACATACAATAATCAGGAAACGGTTTCTGGAATAGTGACAATGTAAATTATGGTGAAGACATTCCAGGACTGTATTAACCATTAGTTTTTTTGTTTTTACCAATACGTAGTTGAATTGTAAGGCCTTTGACGTTTAGCTGAACTTAAGAAAACTGGACCGCTGCTGCACACACGTATGTACTATGTTGAACTTATTTCGCACCGTACGTAGCTAACCGTGCTAATCGGGAGGTGAGAGGCAAGGACAAAAAAACTAAACACAAAAAGCAGTTCTAAAGAAATTAGTTTTCAATAGAGATGATTTAAAATGTGAATATGTCCAGTGGCTTCCTAATATTGGAAGAGCATTCCAGACGGCCGCAGAAGTGCGGAAGAAACGTCACGCAGAGGGGTAACAATGGTAAAAAAATCAGTTCTAAAGGAATTCGTTTTCACTCGAGATCATAAGCCGAGGCTCCCTTCCTACCTCGACGTTTGGCAGGGTGATGGTGACCTGATCACCTTTCCCCACGTCCAGTGTGCCCTCGCACGCCGTATCGATGGAGGCTGGCTTGAAGTCGTCTATTGAACAACAGCGTGTTCAACTTATATCAAACGAGCCGCATATTAAACTTATGGCGGTACCCCGGCTCTCGCATAATGTCCGTGATGCAGTCATTATACACGTTTTTTATTAACTCACAATGTTGTATCCTCAAATCGTCTAACTCAGTTTTTACCCACTTCCCAATGTGGTATCGACTGCAAACTTGATATACTTATGTCATACTGATGACAATTTATCATTTAAAAAACATTTTAAAACATTTTTTATACGTTGTTTCGGCTTGGCTCTTAATTGTCCACGGTAAACTGACGTTGGCTGTAAATGACCACGGTCCCCTTACGTTATGACAAGCTTCGGGGCCACTTCCTGGAGTCGTGGAGTTCTGCAATTGCTAGTACGGTACATTTAATTAAAGCGTGTTTAAAAAAAATATTTTTTTTAACATTACTTATTTTTAGTCTGTTGATTGTCGGCGATGCGGCAATCGACTCATCACGACGAGCTGTACACGATGCACTATTCAAAGTCGATTTTTGTTCGGATTTTTTTATGCTGTTTTGCGTTTCGACATCGCGGAGTAGCACTGATTTCGTATTGCTTGGAGTGAAGTACACCCCTGGAAAAAAAATTGCGTCCCAGAAATAAAATATTTAATTGCCTCGGCCATTTAGTATTATTTGGTACCCCGGGGTTCCGCCATGAGGATCACGTTCAGCCCTCAATTGCAAAATACAATAAACACGTCAATATAATCTGACCTCTCACGTAGTTCTAAAACCCAAAACGACTCAAACCAAATGTCTCAGTCGTGTACAGTGTCCTGCTTGTATTTAAACCCCAACATCCCACAAGGTTCTAAGTGCTAACAATGTCGCAGTGATGTACTCCCGTGTCTGTTATATAAACACGTGGCAATGCCCCTCGTTAATTCCCCAAGTAAACCCCCTTGCTAATGACCACGGGTAACGTCCGAATGAGCCGCGGGGTGAAGCGGTGGCGCCAGCGATGAGCGCCTTGCCCTCCGAGCTTGACACAAACAATATCCTACAGCATTCGCGGCCACGGCTAACATCAGTGGCGAACACGTTAAGCCAACCCTGTACCCTCCCCCGCCTGCACTTGACCAGCGCGGTGAAGTATGGTCAAACAGCGCGAGACGGCGCGAGGACGCCTTCATCCAGCGGTGGACTGACAAGAGGACTGCCAATGACGACTATAAATGTAAATTACGATAACTTCTTCATGTTCTTGTTGTTATTATGATCGAGTGGTGGTGGTGGCGGCGTTGGTTAAACTCTCACATCGGATGGCGTGGAAGCCGGCCCGTGGCCTCCGCTCAAAGCTCTCGCCCAGGCGCAGCACGTGCTCCTCGTTGTTCATGGCTTGGGGCGTCGTCTGTCACTCGACAAGAGGCCGATCAAGCGACTTGACGAGCGAAAAACAAAACGAAGAGCACGCCGCACAATCCTCCTCGCTACAAACTCGCGTCGCTTTCTTTAATTATTTCCAGGAGACGCCTGCGCACAGGGCCGGCCGCATGACCCCCGTGACCCCGAGTCCGCGGAACCACCCCACGCGCATGCGCACTCGGCGCGCGGAAGCCGGGTCCACGTGGGCGGGACGCGACGCACGTGTGCGGCCTGCGGCTCCGCGGCCGTGAGGCTTCTCTGTGAAGCAATCAACGCGCTGGTGGCCAATCAGCGATTGTCCAGCCGCTGCTTTTGCTTTCTGGTGGTGGTCGCTTTACAAGAATCTCCTCCTGGGCGGCGCGTCTCGTCGGTCGCGGGGATGCGTTGACCGTCGCTGGCTGGTCACCGTCATGCAGGGTTCGTGATACTCTTACGACTGAGGGACTGTCGTGTTTCCGTCTGGGCCAGCAGCACACAGTGGGTGTGGGAGGTGCAATGAAGGGAAATAAACAGGTTTAGTTGACTAATCCATCGATGTAAATCTAATGTTAGAGCGAGTCAGGTATAGGACTGTTTCAAATGATGGCCCCACATCAATGTCCTGCCTCATCAACACATTATGGGTTATTTAAAATTATAACTTACATGAGAGACTTCAGCAGTCGAACGCTTGCCCACACAGTCCGTCTCATCTTAATTGTTCATCCCATGAATATGTTATCGTTCGGATTCACGTAGAGTTGACAGTCTTTTATGTTAAAGTGAGTATGGAATCAACCACAACTGCATTGTTCTTTGCCTGCGAGGTTAGCTTTATCACATAGAGGTGTGTGAGACATACTGCCTTAGAATGCAGGACACTCAGGGGGACCAGAGCTGCTGTCCTGGTCCCACGCAAAGTTCCCCTCCAGCAGGGGCCCCGCTGTTGGTTGCTTGACTCCTGGAGGGGGGGTAGATGAGAAGTGGCCTACGAGGATCGGGGAGCTGCGACGCACTGCACCGTGGAGCGCCGCCCCTAGGCAGAGGGGACGCGGGGCGGTGACACGCGGAGTGCGCTCCCAGTAGAGTCGGCGTTGTGTGCGCGGACCGTGGGGTGGATTGGTGGTTCACAAGCTTTATACTGGAGGAATCCGATGAGCTATGAAGCTCTTTTTCACAGATGCCCAGTAGTTTCACAGATGTCCAAGTTGGATGTGAAAACGTGTGGGAATCTTAATTTCATATCAGCTGGAGGCAGAAACAAGAGTGAATGTGTTAACTCGTATAGAAAATATCAGGATAATTGGTTTAGGATTTTGATTAGAGCTAGTCTTTCATCTGCTCAGCCTCATACCAACCGCTCATACCAACCCGCACTGACCAGCATAGTGAAGTGCCTTCGCGTATATCTTCCCCCAGTAGTGGTACAGATCGTCTCCAGGCACTTGAATTTCTGATGTCATCATCCATGATGACAGCACCAGTGCGGCTGAAGATGTAAGTGATGTTAAGAATAACTTGGTGAGAAGACGCCTTGATTTGACCATTACTACAAAACACGTGCATGGAGTACGACCGCCAGGGAGATGGGCGAGTCATGGAATCTGCTCTTTTGCAGGTGCGAGATCAGGGATGGGCAACCTGCAGCTCTTCAAGGACTTCTTCGTTACGTTATTTATTAGGGACCGTCTCGTACTCGCATGCATCGCGGCTCTTTGAATGTAGAGGGGGTTTCTTTACCAAATTCGAACAAAATGTATATTGTTCTTTTGGTAGCCGACCTCTGTGCTAGACGTATTCCTCCTACATCGCAGGATCGCGAGAAATGGAAGCAGCCTGGGGAGACCTGAATCAGTGGGTTGAGCATGGCCGATGATGGTGACGACCAAAGACACTTTCATTGCAGCTCGAGAAGCAGAGGCGGCGGCGGCAGTGCCCACCCAGGCGAGGGCGTGCGGGGCTCGGCCGCTCTCTCCCGAGGAGCGGGAGAGGCTACAGCGCGACTCGGCGCTGGTGGCCGAGTTCAAGCAGACGAAGCTCGAGCAGGAGGCGCGCAGGAACTGGGACCTTTTCTACAAGCGGAACTCGACACGCTTCTTCAAGGACCGCCACTGGACGACCCGCGAGTTCCAGGAGCTCGGTGCCTGCAGAGAGGTGTGGATGGGTTGATTTGTGTCCGGAATAAATAAATGTCTAGATTCACGTGTAGATTAAATGGCCAAAAATACATCGTCTTAGCGACATGGCCAATTTTTGGTAATGGGAGATGTCTGTGCAGTTAAAAAAATTTCCCTAAAAGATTAAAATTCACACTTGCCAACACGTGAATCAAGTGCTTTAGAGTTAAAAGTACTTGATGGGGACTTCGTCCAGGAGGGGTGAAGACCTCATCTGAATTTTGATGATACTTCACAACTGGAAGAGAGTCTCCCACCCCATTTAACAAAATCGTATGCTTTTGTACTCCAGCGTGAAAACCAGAGGCTGGTGGTCCTGGAGGCTGGGTGTGGAGTTGGGAACTGTCTCTTCCCACTCCTCGAAGAGGATCCCAACATCTTTGTCTATGCGTGCGATTTTTCTCCACGTGCCGTTGACTTTGTTAAGGTATGTGTAGCAGGTGTGTAGGATTACCTGGATGAATTGTCACCACATTTGCAGTTGCTCATTGAGGTGTTCACCCAGAGTTAGCATTCATCTGCAGGATCAGTCTCCACTGATTGTTCATCCCGCCGCACCACTGCCCTGTATCTCCACCCCAATGCCCTGTAGCCCCACTTGGCAGTCTTAGCCAGGGACATGCCCAACACCTACAGTGATCGCTATGCTGCAAGGCGATGAAAGCGTGGCGTGGAGGCCGACTGTAATTTTTTGTTATATTTTGCAGCCTTGTGAGTTTCTGAGCAACTTCTGCCAGCCAGTTTCTGGATCCTCTTTACACCACCACATAGCCAGATCATTCGAGAACACGAACAAACAATGCAGAATATTCCACGCTGCCCCTTCCCCGGCATGTATGTTGAACTTCTTTCGCACCGTACATACCCAACCGTGCTAATCGGAGGCATTACTGGATGGTAGAGCAGTAGCAGACCAGATACGGATGCAAGAAACGTAGTTTTACATCATGCAAATTAACGAGTATGAATTTTATATTGCTTTATTGGATAAAATGTGTTGTTTTCTTGTCGTTGCAGAGCAACCCCTTGTACAGTAAAGAGCGCTGCTTGGCTTTCCAGTGTGACCTCACTCAGAATTCCCTCGTGGAGAATGTGCCGGAAGGGACGGTAGACGCAGTGACACTCATATTTGTCCTATCTGCTATCCACCCCGACAACATGGATGCAGCTCTGCTTAATATCTACAAGGTGGGTAGGACATCAAACCGCATCTAGCACAAGAATCCATGGTTGAGCACGATATAGCATCCTTGAAATGTTCTCGTTTCAGTCCAAATAGATGACATTCGAGCGAAACACAGATTTATAATAATTTTAAGGCGTGAAGCACGTTACTAAAGAGCATATCGATGTCATCATATCGGTCACACCATCACCAAACCAGTACACCTTGGTATAGGTTTTGTGGATTCACGCCATCTCGACTGCATTTTAGGCGACATGAAGAGCCACAACTAATATACGTATGTTGAAATTATTTCGCACCGTACAAAGCCAACCGTGCTAATCGGTGGTGTGGGGATGGGCAACAACTAAACACAAAAAGCAGTTCTGTTGCATCATAATGAAGAGGGAATGGAAAGCCGGGGGGGAGCAATCTCTGTGCATGTGAGCGTGGAGTTTTCCCTGCACACCTGGGGACAACAGCGCTCGCTCCGCTCCAGGTGCTAAGGCCAGGAGGACGCGTCCTCTTCAGGGACTACGGTCTGCACGACCACGCCATGCTGCGATTCAAGCCTGGCCACAAACTGTCGGAGAACTTCTACGTCCGTCAAGATGGAACCAGGGCATACTTCTTTTCAGATGGTATTACAATGATAGAAAAGTAAATTGTAGTCCTAAGCATCAAATATATTTATAAATGTGATAAACTATAGGTCACATGTTTATTTATTAATTATGCAGCATAGGAAACATGATGTCTGATATTCTTGGTTCTTTCGGTAAAGTCACGTAAAGGGAAACAATAAAATAATAATATAATAATACAATTCTCACGACGTTTCAACTGCAACACAAGCAATCATCAGGTGTGAAAACCACAGTAAGAAGTTTGTATTATTTTATTGTTTCCCTTCTATGTGACTTTACCGAAAAATCTACTCTTTGGTTCTATTGGGTAAAGTCACATAGGTGAAAATAAAATAACAATATCACGACGTTTCGGCCACAACACAAGCGGCCTTCATCAGGTGAAGGGACGAGACTGTCTGGAGGACAGCGCTGGAGTGAGAGAAGCCACGCTTAGATCACGACCTTTAAGCTGTGAGAAGAAAAACACAAAGCGCCTTGACAAAGGAATTAGCATATAATTTAGCATTGAAATGGCTCATTGAAATAGCTAAGTTAAAGTATACACATCCGCAGAGGTACCCCTTGACAAAGGAATTACCGCTGGAGTGGAAGAAGCCACGCTTAGATCACGACCTTTAAGCTGTGTGAGAAGAAAAAGGCCAAGTGCCTTGACAAAGGAATTAACATATAATTTAGCATTGAAATGGCTCATTGAAATAGCTAAGTTAAAGTATACACATCCGCAGAGGTACCCCTTGACAAAGGAATTAGCATAGAATTTAGCATTGAAATAGCTGAGTGATTAGCTTGTAACTGGTCACAGAATTTACCGAAAGAACCAATAATATGAATCCCTGCAGTCACGAAAGCTTTAAATCAAATGTCTCATGTTTTATTTTTTCAACAGACGTTGTGGAAAAACTCTTCATCGGTACAGGCTACGAGGTGCTGGAGAATGAATATGTTGTGCGCAAGACTGTCAACATCAAAGAGGGGCTGAGTGTGCCCAGGATTTTCATTCAGGGGAAATTTCAAAAACCCTCAGATGAACATAAACCTGCTTCGTGATACTTCACAGTACAGTGGGGCTCCTGTGCAGTCAACTACAACTGTACACTGCTAAAGTCTCCCTGCACCTTTGCCTTCACGCAATCCAACACTCTCCAGCACAAACTGGTCTTAATGCTCCACTTCTGTGATGCACGTCCACCTATGGATCATTAGTCACCCTGTACACTCCAAATGCGGTGCAGAACGTGACAGTTCATAATCACCAACATTACTACCGCCACCATTCTCATCATGACCATAATCCTTTTCCACAGTGGTCTACCCACATCTGGACAAAGGCCTTCCCACCCCATCGCAATCCCTTTCAGTGCAGCGATAACGAACTTCATCTCACGCCTGCACGTGAACCCGTCTTCTCGCTCTACCTCCTCAGTGGTCAACTTTGGTGTTCCCCTTTGCTCCTGTGTACCGAAAATGGCATGCTAATGCACAGCTGGAGACCAAGGATGCCGTGAAGGTTGGTTAGAGCTATCGCCTCTAAGATGCATAATTATAACTCCACAAATTGGGAGAACTCCACAAAAGGCCCAGACCAAATTTTCTCTGATGGCTGAACGAGTGCAGAGGAGACCAAACAGCCACCGTTAAAAACTAGACAGATTCCGGTCACTACTCTTTCTACCAATGTGTCCTTCCCCCACACCTCTGATTGGCAGAGTTGGCTAAGTTCCGTGCGAAAGAAGTTCAGCATACAACAGATACGTAAACTCAGATTAAATTATACAATTAAAATCTTGGCTGAATTTGTCTTGGACAGCGAAGGTGTCAATATAACCAGGTTCTAGGGCAAGGAGCCAAGGGAAAACAAAAGGGAGGATGCAATAGTTTGAGGCAATTCGACACAAGTCAAATATGCAAGAACCGAAACTGTAATCAGCTGAATACTTAGGTTATAAACAAAACAGGACTAGGATTTAAAGGTAACCTGGTCTGTGCTCGTGTCTTCACCCCAGCCTGAGGTGCCATATCTAGGTGGGATTCAGAGTCCATCAATCCATGTAGGCACTCGCTTCATTGCATTTGTCTGAGCAGCTCAAATTAAGTAGCCCCGACTGCATCCAGAAACGCTCTGCGAGTCATTGCTCTTCAGGGGCAACGTCCACTTCCTCATGGCTCATTCCTACTGCTCGTGGTGGCCCATTCGTAATGCTGGGGTATGCGCCTCACCATTCGTTCATGTTGAGCTAATGTGGGCGATGCCCCACAATCGTTTTCCACCATAATTTGTATTTCAGATATGGGTATCGCTAGTGGACCATTTAATTCCCTAGTTGCCCTGAAGTAGTGCTGGTCCTTCAATTGCTGACATCTTTACGGCCATAGGACAGGCAGGGCACTAACGATGCACAAAGCAGATCATGCTCAAGCTAATTGGGACACTGCCCAGCCACAGTGCACATCAATATTACCATCAATATATCAAACTCCACCATCGTCACTACCACCAACATCGATAGTGCATAGCAGGTCTCTCAAACGCGGTGGCAGGAGAAATTTTCCGCCACTGTCATGCGACTCCTGTTCACTGCAAAATCGCTGTGGATAATGAGTTCCCGTGAACAGATGGCAGGCCATAGGTTTGCGGATAAGAGCTATTTTATTTAACAGGTCTCTGCAGGGTGGGCTGGTAGAAACATTGGAATTTTGCGCAATTTTATTACACCCAACAGCACGAGATTTCACTTCGTTAAAGTATTGAAAGGGGACGGACGGACGGACACAATCTATTGCAGGCTGGTACACTCAGTTTACAACTTCGTTCCTACCAGTAACAGTATTTTTATAATAATTTTTGCAATGCTGTTCATTATAAAATACATGGTTTTACCATGAAGCACACTAGAGAATGGATATGTTCTTAAGTACTGTATTGTACTCGTTCTAAAGTCTTGTTTGCACAATGTTATTTGGGAGATGTCACGCCAATCCTTTGAATTATGCAAGGAGAAAATGCAAGAGATGTCTGTGACGCAGTAGCTCGGTGATACAATTACAATAACACGAGAAATACTAACCGTAAACTTTAATTGAAATGACTGAATGCTATGAAGCATATCATTTGTATAGAATACGAATACGTTTCAGGATTTAAGCTGCAAAAATATTTCAAGATGTAACAGGCATTTTTTACACTGTTTAAGCATGCAACGCAAAATATATAAAAACAAATCCTATGTTCAAAAGATTCCTTCTGTTCCTTAGTTACTATTGAAAAGTTTCTCAATGTAGATGTATAGCAAGAAGTATTTTTTCAATAAAGCAGATGAAAACATTTGAGCATTTCTGATTAAATTACTATTAAGGCCCATAACCCCTCTACTTAGCTCTTTACAAGACTTTCCATTTGCCATTAATGTAAATTATATTACAAGCCAACAAAATATAAAGCTTGTAACTACATAGTTGCTTGACAAAAATCTAGTTCACGATGGAATAAACACAAGGTAAAAAATGCTCTTCATACTTCCGAGTGGTAAGGAAAACTTACACGTACGCCTTCCGTATGCATTTCAACGTCTCGCCAAACTCACAAATGTATTATCAAGCGGTCCTGTTGCAGCTTTCCTCATTTTACAAATGTACTCCTATTTTCATCCTCATGAATATCCCTGGAATTCGCCCACACTAAGGTTTGCTTTCTTCACCTTTACCACCGGCATTGTCCTGCGACTGCTCGGTGGGCTTCGTGAGACCACGGATTGTCAGGTCGTACACCACCTCCTCCACCTTCTTCACGTCGTACTTGAGGCCATCATAGCGCTTGCGCAGCGAGTCGTTCTTCAGGTTGAGCGAACGGAAGCCAGCGTCCAGCTCGTGCACAAACGCCGCCACTCGAATGGGCCGCCCATAATCCCCGGCTGTCACGCTGTTCACTGCCAGGCGTGCCTGCGGTAATAGCAACGGTCAACAGTATTCCGTGGAAAACTGCAATGCATGGCAGATTGCTACAACCACGCATGTACCACTGGCCCATAATATAATTGGACAGGTAAATCGGTTCTAGATTTAAAGCTTTCGTGACTGCGAGGATCCATACTCTTTGGTTCTATTGTTATTTTATTTTCACCTACGTGACTTTACCCAATAGAACCAAAGAGTAGGTAAATCGGTGTTAAATGTGAATGTATTTCGCTGAAATCAACTTTAATCAGAAAATGTAGGTGAAAAAAAATATATTACTGTCAATGACGCTCCTAAGGATTTGCAAATTTTGTAATACAGTATTGGGATTGAAAACCATTCCAAAGTTCCAAGGATGCTCCTTACCAATTCACTGGCCATCATCAGCAGCCCAGTGAGGTAATCATCCAGGTCCAGATGGAAGCCTTTCTCCTGCTGCACCTCAACTGCACACATGAAAGCAGTCCCTTAACAATCTGTGCAAATTCAACATTTACTCAGAATAAACATATACAGCTTAAAATGTCCTGCAAACCTGGTCCAGTGTGACAATTTACAACACCAATCACCACAGCTTTAAAATTAATCAAGAGATTCCATTCTTTACACCGAGGCTACACAACGGGTGATGTAAAATAGATGCATCACAAATTTTTACTTCATCGCGATTTCTATAGCAATCTCAACTATATAAAGCAATGTCTCCTGTTTCAAATTCAGGTTAAATTTGTTTAGCCAGCTAACACCTCAAGAAAACAGGAGAGTCTCATTGCAACACTGACCTGCGTCACCAACAATTACAAAGGCAAAACAAAACGTACAGCAATATAGTAAAGTAATTAGAACAAAAAGCTATTGCATCAAATGAGGAATTACAAATATTGCACATCGCCAATGTGAACTCAGAACTACATATTCCCTGCAGCGCAAATCAGCTCGAAACACATTTCCTACAGAATGATCATGGATAAGCTGCACTACAGGCACATTAATAATTAAACAGATATAGGTTGACTACAGTACGAACGTGACTTCATTCCCACCACACATCAGTTATGGCACGGGCTTTAGACAAGAAACCCAGTCGTTTAAATATGCAGATGTGATAAAGCAAAACATATCACCGTACTCACTTCCAAGGATTTTCGCAGCTTCCTCCCGAGAGATGAGGCTCTCGGCTTCCAGGTACACAAGCAGGGCGGATAGATAGCTGAGGCGCTGCAGCACAAACCGCCAGTGGTCATGAAATCTACACAGGAGCAGCAATTCCAAGCAGTGTCAACAGTGAGCACAAACCACAGATGCCTGCATCTTCAGGGGTTCCTGCACCTCGGACAAAAAAAGAGAACAAGTTTAAAATCCCAACATGCGTAGGTACTCTTAAATGTGTCTGCAATGTGATCTCAAAAACAAAATATAATGGGCATAATGTTCACCAGTGTATTAACACAATTGATGTTAAGAGCTTGTAAGATTCAGGCTATTGCCAAACATTGCCTTTCAATTTTAAAATATGCAAATTATTACCACAGTCACCCTCCTTCAGACATTAACTACACCAAATGAAAATCTAGAATACAAAGCAACATTTTCACAGGTTATGAATGACTACATTTAAGGGAACACCAGATGGAAAGCCGTCATATTTATTAAAATAGCTGTCAAAAGCATCCTCAAGTGGTTTCTCCCCACCTGTAGTAATACTCCGGAGGGAACTTGGTCTTGAGTACAGCAAAGTGAACTTTAACTTCTTCGAAGCGTTCTCTTGCCTTCTGACAGATAGTTGGCACTGCACAACGACACAAAGTTAGTCACAAGTTCGCTTCCCTGAATTGTGAAATGTCCTCACCAGTATTAAGCTACAAGTTCATTTAAACATTTACATTTTTGACCAGACAAGAGCCTTTTTTATTAAAACTCAAAAGGACACTTTTATCTCTATGCTTAAAAACCATGATTATTTTGTTTTATATATGGTAAGTATGGATAAGTTCCTACATCAAGTGCGCATTCATTATTGTATAAATACGATGATTTCTTTGTATGATCGGTTGACGAGGAAGGCCACGCCGAATCCCATGACTTTAACCTTCACAATCATATAGCCATTCATGAATGGCTCATTTCGTTCAAATAGACTAATTCATTTTTCTCATTTATACATTTATCCATTTTAATTACTCATTCGTTAAATAAAAAAATGTACGTGTGAATCCATAAAATTCGACATCCATGTCAAACAAAGCTGATTATCAGATATATATTTGTTCTCAGTTGTGCCATATAGATCGTCATGATGGGCTTTCTGGTTTGTACGCAGTCTTGTTTGGCATCATGTCCGACGTTTCGCTCCACGTGGTGCTGGGAGCTTTTTCACGAAATTCACTCCCGTTTTTTTTTAAGAAGCTCCCACCCAGCAGGCGGAGCGGGAGGATCATGTTCGACGTTTGGCTCCACATGAGAGAGAGATAAATCGTGGATGCGGAGCCGTGCCCCGTGGCTGTCACCACGCACCGGGCTGCAGGCCCTGGTGCACGCCCTGCAGCAGCGTGAGCGTCTCCCGCGCCGTCTGCTCCAGCGCCTGCACCGTCTCCCGGATCTCCTGCGGGACAACCTCATCATCATTAGTCGCCGTCATCATCAGCCGTGGTCAATCCACTCCTGGATGAAGACTTTCACAAGCCGCTGGCAACCGTCACAATCCAGCTTGATGTAATAATCCGCACGTAGCACATTGACATCAAGTGATTTCATTGATCCATCTCCTCTGTCGATGTCTTCTTGGAAGCGTTCCATTCCTCAGCAGTAGGTAAAGGTGCAGCCCTGCAATTGCTTGACTACGCCACTGCTTGCGGCATGGTCTCCTCTAGAGCAGGGGCCACTCAAGGGAGCTATAGAGTCGCTTTAAGGGTAATTGGCCTACTTCTAGATTTGAAGCTTTCGTGACTGCCAGGATCCATACTCTTTGGTTCTATTCGGTAAAGTCACGTAAAAGTATAAAACACTCCAGCGCTGTCCTCGAGACAGTCTGGTCCCTTCACCTGATGAGGGCCACTTGTGTTGTGGCCGAAACGTCGCGAATTTATTTTAAAATATATTTTTTGTTTTATACTTTTACGTGATTTTACCGAATAGAACCAAAGAGTAATTTGGCCTACTCTTCAATGGTGGCCAGTACACATGGAAGATGTCAGAATACCCACACTTAACCCCACCACACAATCAACTGTGCCGCTGTACCCACCAATACTGCAGGATGCGCTAAGGCGACGGGGATGTAAACAACAACGTGCCCAAATTTTGATGTAAAGCTTTCGTGACTGCAGTAATTCATATTCTTAGCTCTTTCGGTAAAGTCACGTTTGTGTTATGGTCGAAACGTCGTGAGAATTTTTACTGTTTTATATATTTTATTATTTCCCTTCAACGTGACTTTACCGAAAGAGCTAATATATGAACGTGCCCGTTGTTTCAATTACCGCTCTGGGAGATCGAACCCGCAACCTCTGGAGCTCATCGTGCGAACCACCACACTACGGTAGCACACCCCCACTCATTGAGAACATAAATCCATTACAATAACTGCCGTAGTGCTTTGTCAATCCACTGCTGGATGAGGGCCTCCCCACGCGTTCTCTCTCACTGTGGTTGTTTAACAGTACGTATTGCTTGACCATACTTCACCACGCCGGTCGTCAGCACAGAAGGGGCAGAGGACACGGGGCTCGTTCTCATTCCCCGCTGACGTTAGCCGAGGCCTGGAAATCTAACAGTATTGTCGTGATCTGGGCGTCGTGCGCTAATCCACTGCGCGCCACCACTCCATTGGCAATCCTGCAGCAGCCATCACGAGGAGTTTAGCGATTCTGCAAATTCGGAAAATCTCAGCCGCGTGAACGGGTGTCCTCCCTCTCTCCTCCACGACTTATCCCGTCTCGCGTGACACAAACACCCGCGGGCCCGCCGCCGCCTTCCTACTCCACGTCCTCCCCCCGCCTTCACCTCGCGTTTCTCCTGCTCCACGCTCAGAGACTTGTTCACGGACAGGAACATGTCCAGCACCGACATGGCGGGGCCCTGGCAAGGAGCGAGGGAGGCGGCGGCGGCTGTCGAGGAGGAGGAGACGGCGGCGTGAGGGCCGGGCCGAGTGAGAAGCCGGCGGTGTCAGAATTGTTCGCCCACGTGCGAAACTCAACTCCGCCTCCGCAACCGAAGATGACGGAACAATAATAATAAATAATAATAAAACACGCGGCCGCCGATACCGCGGCGGCCATCTTACACAGGGGTGGGGGGGGGACGCCGTGCGCATTGGAAAGCACGGAGGTGTCGTCATCAGCGGGTGACTGACGCCGCCCCCCCCCCCACTGC